ATGGGTCTCGCTTTCTTGAACGCGTGATCCTCTGCAACTCTCATCGTCGCGAGGACTTGTGTGTTGAAATTCCTTCAAGCATTGTAAGAAATGATTACCTGTAATGATTTATGACGCAAGCGGTACATTTTTATTTTTCTCTCTACGGCCGCGCGATGCGGCATACTTGTGCGCACACCTCGCCGCGAATTTCGCTCAACAACGTCGTTCCGTCAGTTGCAACAAGCTTTGAAGTCGTATTACGATAAATAGTTTTTGCACTGGACGGCAAAAATAATCAACGATTTATTATTACCGAGCGTTTCGTCGTAGTGGCTTTTTTTCCCCTCTCTATTTCAGAAGCTACAACACTAACGCGTTCGTTGCGCCACGACGAAATTATGTATATTGAACACCGGCTGTTATTTTTTTCACGAATATTACCATCTGTTCGAGTGCAAACGCAGAGCAATTTTAGAATTTCAGAATTGTACCGTAAATAAAAAAAGCAAGCAAGATCAAGCGCATATCAAATTGTCAGTTAGAACTGACCTTTGCGCGTACAGTTTTGCATATCGCGGAAAATGGTTCTCTCGGTTGAATTCTACTTTTGTCGGGTAGTACTTCCCCTTTATCACCCAATAAAAAAGAGCGGTCCTCCGTATCGTAAAACACGGGGCAATACTGAAATACCCTTCTCCGTTTCTGTACGCGTCGGATTCATAAATATTGCGAACGGCAAAAGCGTGTTAGCATTAATCTCGATGTTATTATGCACACAGAAACAAAGGGTTTCCATCGAACGGGATCCGCGTAATTTATGCGCCTTACTTGCAACGGCGACGTGCTGCAGTCCCAGAGTACTTCTAATCGTAGGAATTAATTACAGCAAAAAGTTGCGAGCGGAAGTTCGCCGAAGCCCTTCGCAACATATTAAAGACCATTGCTTTGTGGTAACTTTTCTCTCTTCGCTTCGACGATAAAGAACCCTCGTGAACTTCGCCAACTCGTTTGCTGCCTCAGCGGGGCTATTTGGTTACTGTGAAACATTCACAACGTTACAGCGCACTCAGTATTTTTGCACGTGTATCCGTAAATAAAGTCTGGTTTGAGCTAACTATACACGTCATTTATAAAAAACAACTATTCAGCAAAACTGAATTGTTTTAAGAAGAAATTATTTTCACGCAATCTACATTCTGCACAGAGAAATCTTTTAGCGATAAGTAAGATTTTATATATCTAATATTTTTTATATTTACGAAGCTGCTTAACGTTGTTAAATTGTTGACCAAAGCTGTAAAACGTAACGTCGAAGCATTCGATCCTTTCGCATCAAAGATTATTTTACTTGGAGAAAGATTTTTTGGTCGTATGCATCCCAAGAGTTTATTCGAAGCTGTTGAAATGAAATATCTTATCTCCATCATTGTATGAGACTTACATTTCTCTCTATGCCAAGAAAGAATGCAATATATGTACCTATATTAATATACCAATTTTCGTCGGAGTGCCGAATCTATGACTGTCAGAGTTCATTTAACTGTACTGATAACGCTGTCCAGATGAATCTTCGAATTGGATCATTTTCCCTTAGGAACAATGCTATATCTTTGATGGACGCGAAGGCGAAATGCGCGGTTTACGCGATGATTCATCGTAGGTAAGGTTTATCCGGTGTTCCACGCAGAGTCACGAGCATTTCTCAAGAGGACTCGAGATAAATGGAACAAGTTTCTTCGAGGGTGCACCAGCTACGTTATTTCTCATATTACGGGGGAAGAAGGGCGCCTCCGTCTTCGTCGCGTTGTTGTCGCGCTTCCACCGCCCTTGAATGCATAGCTAATAAGGCTTTAGCGAAGTATTGGAAGACTGTCGTGACTGTCAGTACTTCCACGTTCCTTTGTTCGTTGCCCTCCCCCGGGATGAAGTCTGTTGCAAGACCGGATTTACCGGAGGCTGATCGGTTACCAATGCCGATCTTATGTTAGTTTGTCCTTCCGAATGTTATTTTACCTCAAATTTATTCCAATATTTCAGTCCGATTTATTTTCTATACGAAGAAACCATTTGTCTATCTATCTATATGTGTATCGATCATACACACACACACACATATTCCATTTACGTCGTCAGCTTAATGTCTAAATTATTCGTTAAGGGCAAGCAAACACGTTCACAAATCGCTCGAGAATTTGACATGGGACATTAAATAAGTATTAGCATAGCGTAATCAAGTTTTTCGGAAATTTTTCCGGGCACCACGGCTAAAAATTTAAGCGCCAAGTGATGCTCTATGGATTTTCGTTTCAATTATGGAAGAGGGAATCATTTAACGGCGCGGGAAAACAGGCTCTCGAGTGTCGTTTATATAATTTTATTCCGAACAACTCGTAGGATGCCTTCGCGTAACTTGGAGGTAATTTCATCTGCGCATCTATATTTCAATATGAAGTACCGTGGATGGTCTTCGGCATCTGATATCGCCATCTCATTCGAGTTATCGCGAGACGGATATCAATGGGAAGCCGTAATCGAAGAGGGTCGCGTAATTCGCTTCGAAGTTATGTTCGCGTTCGTATTACTAATATTAATATTACGAAATCGCGACCCACGCGCACGGCGATACGCTGCAGATGCATTTTATTTCGTGTCGTATCTCGTTACCTCGCATGTCTCTTAAAAAAAAAAGAGAGAGAATAAAGTTTACAGTCGTAACCGACGGACATAGGTGGCTAAGCGAAACGCTAGCAGCGCAGACGTAGCTCCGTAATGTAAAATTACAACTAAAGCTATGACGAGCCGGCGCTCTCACGCTCTAACGAGAATCTAGCTGTTACAATACGAATTCGTTTGGCGCCTGTGGCAAAATTTCCTGCGGAAAATGAAAATGCACTTCGAAACCCTGACACGTCAAGGAGAACCGAGACAAAATCTGATAACGGGTCGTAAGGAATAATGGCGCTGCGAGTTCGATGTGGTTTTATCTTCCCGGCAAATGGATTAAAACAATTTGACGGGACTCTGAAATTTGCGTCGTGCAGTACGTCTCGCCTTGTCGGCGATAACTCCCCTTCCTCTTTTTACCCCCCTTTCCGTGCCTCTCATGGCAGTTGGAAAACTGCGGGAATTGACCCCATGCTTTACCTCTCGCTTGCAAATTTATTGAGCTTTTAAATCGAAGCGCTTGTTGGCGAAAGTTGGCCGGGAATTTATGATGCCGCGCATTCCGTTATGAACGTCATTAACTTTCATATTTTGGGGATACGAACAGCGCGAATGAAGCGCGCTCCGATTTCCTAATTTGAGTTAAGCATGAGTAAACGAACTTCTGGCAGCTCGTTTCCAGCCGTAATCCCTCGATAGAACATCTCTCGATGCATTTCCCAAGCATGTCATTATGCATTGCTCGAAGGAAATAGAGGGCGAAACACAAGCTCTAATTATCGACTACGTTAAATTGGATGTGCGGCGGCTGTTTAAATTTCAAGGCAAAAGGGGAAAACCTTGTTAGTCACGTATACATGTGGACGGTTTAATGCTAAATTTATACCTTGATTTTGTAGGGTACGTGATTGTTAGATGTTACATTGATGATGGTAATCTCGTGCAACAATTGTTTGTTCCAACTTGCCTCTATGAGTTTATTATCCAGACCATATTACGTGCGCGGTATATGAATTTTTAAAAACAAGTCCGCGAACTGTTTTCAGATGTAAAATACGATGCAACGGAGCGACATAAATGTGTTTTAAAAACACCGCCGGGATACACCCTTTCTCTACGTATAATGTTTTAACGAGGGCAACTCAAGAGAGATAATATTATTTTTTAATTGTTGATTCGCATAGTTTATATTATATTTTCTCTTGTTTTTGTCCCGCCCAGCTTTAGAACAGACTGCACTAGAGAAAATAAAAAAGACACTTTTCCTAAAGCGAACATATTTTTCAAGCACGTCGTCTTACGCGTGTAACCATACATGTTTCTTCTTATGTTTCGCTTGCTCTTTATTTTCTCCTTGTAATATAAAACATTTGTCGTATATCACACTACGCGCACACACATACGTACGTATTATGCTTTCCCTAAGTATGACAGGCGATTTTTAAATCTGAATTATTCACGGCAACACTCACCGATAATCCTTGAAGTTATTATTTATGAATTTCGCCATTTCCATGTATGATGACGCTTTCCCAAAGTAATCATCACGTAATTTCGACATACAGTATTCCGACGGCGTCAGTAGAAAAAGGGGCGCAAAAGTTTTCTCTTCTTCGTGCTTCGACTTCCATAATGCTATCCATTTGAAATTCCAATGTTTCGACAATTTATTTTGAGTAACGAAAAATATTCCTGTTCTGGAGATCTCTCGGGAAGTATCTTGAATACGATTCTTGGACATGATGTTTTTAGCCTCGCATTATAGTGCAAAAGACTTTGTTAGCGTGAAAATCATGATAATGTATAAGAATAAGTACGCACAATATACTGCAAACCCAATAAATTTAACCGAGTGACATTGTTGATTGACGATGTTGTTATTTTTCTCACGATCGATCTCGCGCGCTAGGAAGAATTTTAGATGTAAATTCTATAATCTCGCTGAGAGATCGAGAATTAAAGAAAGTACATACAAGATATGTAAATGGGCCCATTACGTAAATGAATTGTTTCGAATTTGTAAATATGTTTGTTAAAATAAACTGAAATATAAAGTGTATAGATTGAAAAATGCTAGTTATATGAACTCTACTTAGATACATCGCTATGCCAAGAATACTCGCAAATTGAGATGCAGTTTCGTTTCCCATGCGTCGTTTATTGTTTTCCGGGTACCATCTTTATTCTCTCGCACACAAAGCGTGAATATTACGCGTATCGCGAGTTCAGCGAAGCGAGATAATTGCAGTCCCGGAAAATGCACCGTGATACATAATGTTAAAGAACGTTGCCAAGATTTGGTGGAAAGTCGATAATTCAGGGAGCTTCGCGGTCTTCAGTGATTTGATTAAATATTAATTACTAAATCATTATTATTCTGCTATTAATAATTTCACCTTTGCACATCGTTAAGTCTATACTCAATCTATAAATTACAATATTATTCAACAACGTCGAGTAGGATGAGGCAAAGCAAATCTAAACTCTTTTGTGTCATAAAACGTCGAATTTTACAAGCGGTATTTCAAAATTTTAACTCCAACAATGCTTCGAATTTTCTCTTTTTGTTAATCATGTTTTGAAGAAAAAATACTTGCGTTTGATTAAAATGGGGTTTGCCTCTTTGTCATATAACGGAAGATAAGAGACAAAAAACAGAGCGTGTACATTTTTTATATTAGACCAAGCAAAACGTCGAAACTAGAAATTATTGCACGCAATGTAATTATTCTCGCACTGCTTTTGTAATTGCTTCTATACGTCTCCAAGATATACAACGCAGCCGTGGTCTCTATCCTCCCGTTCGCTGTTAACGAATGTTACGGGCCTCAGTGGAGCGAGACTCGCCCTCGGACGCGCAATTCCGGTTGATATGCAACATATGCATGCCACGAAATACGCCGCAGCACATATCCGTCCATGTGCTCTCTTACCCTTGTAATTGAAGTGTCTTAGCGCTGACATGCTAGCTGCATCCTGAAATAATTCAAAATATTTATCGTTACGGTTATTTTACAATCTATTTTTTATGGAGACGCTTACGTAAATACCATCGTCGACTCTTTGCGCATACAGAAGCCCACTCGTTTAAAAATTTAATTCCTCCGAGCCTTTAATTTTAAACGTAATTAAATGTAAATATACTAGTAATTTAACGAATAACAAAGTGGGCTTTGAGAGTCAAACGCGGTTTTCGCGTGAGTTAAAGTTACACGATATTTAATTAACAAGTCAATTCAAATTATAAATCGTACTTAGGTCATACTTTGAACCATTCTTAACGATGCGGTGATAAATTACACAATTTCATGCTTTTCGAACATAAGATGAGCATTCAAAAATTGAACATACGATAACGCATTTTCAAGCGAAAATATACCAAAATATTTTCGCTAATTCGTAATCTGCAAAATATTCGGACTAAAAATGAAATAAACGTCGAGATTAACCGGCAGAAGAAAATGAAATTCACTCAACAAATCAAGTTCAGAGAACGTGAGATTGACAAACTAAAACCTTGGGAAAGACATTGGAAAACGAGATTATTTTTATGGCAGTGGTTTATATAATCGAGACACAATTAAAAAACAGATCCGGTTTCAACTAACAGTCAGCTCGCCCGACCGTCAACCATTGGTTCTAGTAATTTAACTAGTCCTTTAATAATTAATAATTAAAAAGGTGAGCTTAGTGTCAACCCAACTGGCAAATTTTATTGAATAAGTCACAACGTTTCAACCTTACTTCAGGTCCTTTTCAAGTAACAATACACTGAAAAAAAATCTGATAGATTCAACCAGTCGTCTGTTAAAAAATGGACGAATCAGAATCCCTTTAGGATTTACTAGATTTGTAGCAAAGTCTAGCAAACTTCTGGTTATGGAATATCTTTCATGGTAAATCTTAAAGGAATTTTAGTAAATCCTAAAGAAATTCTGATTCGTCCATTTTCTAACAGACGACTGGTTGAATCTATCAGACTTTTTTTCAGTGTACAATAAATGTTTTTCCGTAGACAAGCGAGTCATCGTCAAAGTGATATAGAGTCAAAGAATAAAAACATAATAATTCAAATCGAACCTCCATAATGTTCGGATGTGTTCTTATTCTTTGACTCTATATCACTATGACGATGAATCGCTTGTCTACGGAAAAAATTTTTTGTATTGCTATTCGAAAAGAACCTGAAGTAAGGTCGAAACGTTGTAACTAATTTAATAAAATTTGCCTCACCTTTTTAATTTTTAATCATCACTGGCGTCTATAAGTGCCACTTTTCTTTCGTTAAGAATTAATAACTTAAATAGCAATTTAGATAAACGAGTTTCTATTTCGGTACAAATTTAAATAAAAATTTTATTTGAAATATTGTTCTCAATATTTATACATTTCTATTTTATATGCAAACTTGATTAATATTCGGAAGAATGTTAAATTATTTGGAGAGCAATAAATTTTAAAGACGATGCGAAAAAAATCAATGCAGGATTTATATGATTGCCATATGCATCAAGGAAATTACAGACTTTATATGATTTAGTTGAAATGTGGTACCAACTTGTTTTATGCTTTATGTCAGTGTGGGTGAAACTGGATATAGGTGCGGCCGTAATTCATTTGCGGATATAAATAGCACAAAATAGCACAAAAAGTGTGTGCTTTGCATTTTTAGTCATAAAACTGTGAAAGATACTGCGCGTTTTACTAGAATTTCTACGTAGATTGCGCCATATAAATCAACCCTTTCATTGGAACAAATATGAATCGGGAGAAAGAAATTAACACTATATAAAAACTCAACTCGTAAAATATTCTATTTAGCAAATTTTCTGTTGCTTTTTCAAATACTTTTTTACATTGGAGAGAATATATTCGTTGGTTTTTCTGTTGTTTTATTTTACTATGCACATACAATCACAAAAATGAAAATTTAGTCAACGCATTGTAATCTGGATTTAAATGCTGCAAACGACGATATTATTTTTATGTTGGAGATAAAATATGTATATTACGAAATCCCACAAAATGACATAATATAAAGAGAAATTTGAAATAAAATATCTTACAAAATCAAGCGACGCACAAATAGTTTCAAATTGCAAATCTTTTGCAATCTGCAGCACATAGAATTTCGTAACAAAACTGATCTTATCGAGGTGAAATTCGATTGTGAAACGTAGTTCATTGAGTGCTTTGACGATTTCGGATAAGTTCAATGTGGAACGCAACCTAAAGAAATATTTTGTTTACAAATCGCTCTTTGTAAAGCTTGTGAAGCTTTCCGTACTTTGACTGCGCGAGGTTTGTCTGTTACTTCTATTTTCGATGTCCAGCGTGTCAAACATTTCTGCCGAATATTCTGAAACAGTTCCGTTTAGTATAGCGTGGATATATACGTTGCAATGGATTTATGACGCGACGTACATAAGCGGATTTTATATGTGAACATTAATTACGACTAATTACCGCACAAGTTGCCATGATAATAACATGTAAATGTGATTATCGACAAGTGTGAGTTATCAATGCAATAAATACAATTCTAAAAATCGTGATTTAAATCGCCCATCCATTGTAACTTTTGATTGCGGTGCATGCAACAATTGTATTCCTTACACAGATTGTTCTAGCTGTGGTACCGAAATTCATTTTTATCCAAAGTGAATGATTAATATTTCATCGTGGAACCTAAACTCTTGAGAAGATATTACTAGAATGTTGCTGCTATAATTTCTGCAGGCTACAAACAATTTTCTAACAGATACAAAAAATAGCGATAAATTTTTGTCGTAATTGCTAGAAATCTAACTGCGTTAGTAAAAGAATTTTTAGTGTTATAATAAAAACGATGATAAATGATAGACGGAATCATAAATGCAGATTCTTTCTTCAAGTTTAATAGAACGAGTCACGATTAAGCCTAACGATTGGTGAACATAACTGAGCGATATTTGTTAGTCTTTCTCGCAAATTTCATTCTTAAGTGAAAAAATTTTATTGATTAAGTAAAACGTCTTACCTCGATTTAAAAAGATTTTTTTTAATATAAAAACTCAACTCAGAGTTTGTGTTAAGAAGTTTGATCGTTCTATTAACGTTATGAAAATCGATAGGAAACTAGACCAGACGGTGAAGTTGGTGTCCATTGATATTCTGTTCGCGTCCGTTGCAGCGGCTCTGTCGTAATTAATTACTATAATTCCTGTGTCCCTCGTGCATGATTTCCAGCTCATATGATGATTGCCATTTGGGCAGTCGGTGTATCCGTTCCTGGTCAAAGCTACCATCAGAATGTCACCTATTGCGCATCACCGAAATCAACTTCATCAAATCAGTTGCAGTGGATTATGTTCCATCGATTAAATCTAATTTGGGTCAGATTGATGCTCCCGATGTCAATGGCAGAATCCGAATTCTGCACATCTTCAGCTCGAATACGCTTTACTTTTTAACTTGACAAAATTTCGTACAATTTATAGTGTTTGATTAGACCGTTCCGTGTTTTCTCTTCAGTTCAGTTTCAATCCCCATTTCAGCGTCATGCTTGATAGATATATCCGCTCGGCTGTTTGCAGAAATCTTTTATAGGTTGAGACGTTCTATTTGTTATCGGTAAATATAAATGTCACTGCTTCGAGATTACCTAAGTCGTTGCAGATAGTTGATGCCATAGAACACGCACAGATCAATGAGACCGTAACCGCGGTGGATAATGGACGATGGTTAATCGAGGAGATTACGTGGCTTAAAGGCTTTACGATTAAGATACGATGGCGTGACACGTGCCTCGGACGCAGAGAGCCGACATGGATTCGATAAACGTCACGATCCCTACTAGCGCAAGGTTCTGGCCGTCGATATATCATACCCACCTGGAGTAAGTGGATGTAAGTGGGGAACCAGCTCCAACCATCTGATCGTTCTGCTCATTCGCGATTTATCTCCAGTATCGTTTTATTCGCCGCGCTTAAATAAACGTCCGCGAGGTTGTATATGTATATGCCGGCAATCAGGAAAGAATTGAGTCTCGACTTCGCGGAACTGGAAAACCTCGGTTGAGACAGGTAAGTCCGGGTATCAAGATAAACACTGTGATATACGGGATGAAACGGCGCGTGGGTTGCCATTCCAATTAAATATTTCTTGCATATTAATTCACAGTAAATGGATTATTAAAGTTCAGAGATCAGTGTTATGTCATCTGCGTTGTTTCTACGTCTTTCACGGTGACTTTGGAGCAGGCTAGTGTTACATGATAATTGAATGTAAGAATTAATTCGCAATTTGTAACAAAATGAAACGTTTTCAATTATGTCAATTTAATTAACGCTATGTTTTATTTATGTATTCGTAATAATGCAGATGTAAATATATACAATACGCAAGTAGTATAAACTTAAAAGATGTGTATTTTATAAAATTTAAAAAGTACTTGTCAATTCTAGATATAAATTATAAATATAAATTTAAAAAATGTTTTGCTTTTTAACTGATAGTTTTCCAAGAGAGGATAGTTTATGTACGTACATTTTACATCGTTCTTTCTACACGCTTCTCGTAAAATATCATCATATTCATTATCTAAAAAGTCGCTATACATAAAAAGAATACTTATAATATAGAATAAAAGGGATTATATTTATTAAAAGAATGTGAATTGCGACACAAAGTTCATTTATGTTAAAAATCAAGTAATCAGCGTCGAGGCGCCTGAAACCGGTACACAGCGAAAATACGTGTAAATCATGCATTTCTCATAATTTATGCACGGGCTTTTTGATAAAACACGCCAAGTTTTCATAAGAGCGATTGCAATCCGACTACTTGATGCTCCTGCTTTATGTCAAGCGTAAAATATTTCATCATCATATTGCTGCCCGTAAGCATCGTCGAATAGAGTTACATAGATGCGTACGACGGTCGCCGTAGAGTGAAAATGACAAGTGATGTGCCAGAGGCTAATTGAAGTGCACGACATAGGTACCTACGGGTGCACACGCGAGGGTGTCCTCATTTTCGTAGACTATTACTCTTCGATATAGCGGATTCATAATTGATACACTACGTAATGTTATAATAGCAATTCGCACGCTTGTTATCCAATTAATATTGCATTTGCAGTAGTCGGGGTCAACGTCGTGATTAACGGATTTACAGCTGAAGGTGGTGTTGCAAGCAGCTTTAAGCATCACTTAGCATGAGATCTAATCAGCATCTATTAAGCCTGACTTGTTTTTCCTAAGTGAATATCTAAATAGCATGTCTGCCATAATATTCCAGTCCGCGCATACACGCACGCACACAACTGCGAGTTGTATCATGAATTTTAATTACGCACACGCTGACTTCCTCGTTCACTCGATATCACGTTTCCTATTCTTCAAACAATTATCGAGCATTTATCTGTGAGCAGAGCAATTATTCATACGCAATATTGCAATATTGGAGATTTAAGCAAAGTAAGCAGAGATCCATTGAGCGAATCTTGTATCCAATTAAACACAGATTCCATTCTGCAAATTTATCTTTCACATTTAATGATAGGTAAAAAAAATTGATTTAAAAAAAAGAAGAAACTAGAAGCTGATTAGGTCCAAAGCAAAATGTAGATAGCCAAATAATTTTTAACATGCGAATTCTTATAATAAAATTAATTTTTGTTTTTCGGAATATACACCATATATGTATAATATATGTATAGCGTGTGTGTGTGTGTTTATTTATTCGATAAATATTTGTACGTGCCCCAATCACAATCTTTTGTTTCTATATTACAATTTTTCATCAAACTCTATTTGCGCAATGTTGCTAGACATTTCGTCGATAAACTTGTTTTCCGTCGCGTTGTCGTGTGCATCTATTTTCGTATGACAGGGTTCCAGTCTGATCGGCGTGTTACATATTCCAAGCGACGTGCACGAGCGGAATGGAAATTGTATCAGGTGCGATTAAGGTGCGTGAAAGGAGCAAGGATACCTATTCCCAAGGACAGATTGCCTATCAATGCTGGGGCAACCGCGTCTCCCGTCGCTACGCCGAACAGAAAACAGTTGTGCAATTCTTCTCGGATTGGGAGTTTCGTTGTTGCACTTCCACGCGAAGCGCTAGGTCGAAGCCGGTATTATAATATTAGTAGCAAAAAGCGTGCAAGTGAAGTATCCGTGTCATAAAACAGTGTTAATTTGTCATATGCCGCGATATACCGTTTCCTCGTTCGCTGATTACCTTGATATCGTTATTGGCTTTACGCAAATCGCGTGGCCGGTGACCATTATGAGAATAAATGTGAATATTCAGTTTCAGTTTTAATTTCGCAGTCCATAATCATTTTCCGATTATCCTGCGCAATGGATTTTCCGCGATTGATATAACGATGTCTATTAACTCAGTCGATTTAAAATGTACGTTACAATTACGAATTTCAAGTTGAAATCTCAACTACAAATCACAGTTTTTGTCATTAAGTGTAGACAATTACGTTTTTTACGAGGGGAAAACCGCCGAGGGCATTGTGGTGTACAGATTTACGGAATTACTGGATATTACTAGGCATTTTTAGGCATTAGGCCTTGTTGGGGCATTATAAAGATAAAATAAGATAAAACAAGATAAATAAGTCAAATTAAGATAATAAAATGAGGTAATGCCCACTGGGCATTGGTGGGCATTGGTGTATAAAATTGTGATCAGCGGTTTTGCCCTCGTTTTTTTTTTATGAATCTATTTCTATATTTTTATATCTTAAAGGACAAACGTGAAATACTCAACAAGTCACTCACATTTATAAGTGAGTTTATCGACCAGCGAAATTGGTATTGAGCAGCTAAAGGAAATTAGTTGTCGTACATTGATTGAATCATGACGACTGATAAAACCGAAACGCCGAGACAACTCGTCAAGGTGCCGACCCCGAGTTTCGAACCACCAGAACGATGGCGAATTATGAGAAACATTCTAGCGATTGGTTGCGCTTTTATGGTGAATTTCACAGCTTTCATGGGAGCCGCGAACTTGCAGAGTTCGATCAATGCGGATCAATCGCTAGGCACATTTACGTTGTCGGCGATTTACGGTAGTCTGCTCTTCAGCAACATTTTTCTACCCGCTTTAATTATAAGGTAAAGCTTAAATAGGTCTGCTTATGTATTCTGCCACTCGCGTATTGTTTAGTCTAATAATCGTAATTTCGCGAAAGGCGCAACTCTAAGACATGACTTGACACAATAGCGATTTAGTAATATATTTTTCAGCGAATGCTGCACTACGATTGCCGTGATAAATATTTTGCATCTCGAGCTAAATGGAGAACTGTCGTCAGACTAGATTGCCGTTACTTGTTATCGTCGTAGAATGAATAGAAAGTTTTTGGGAAATGTATATCGTCAATCATCGTAGACGCCGCAATCGTTCGATGTGTTCCCCATATACGCGAAACATACGGTTAGAGTTCTGCGCGTAGTCCCACAGCACTAAACTTTATTACGCGTTGTCGTTTTCACTTTGGCCCGGAATTACATGAAACCCCCGCGGGTTCCAGCATTAGACATGAGTGAAATGAACATGTCTGGATATCGCGAGGATTCAGCACGACATCTTCTTAGTCAACGTAATCTAAAACGAAAAACCTTACTATGCCGTTCAATATATTAATATTTGCTTACTTTAGGATTATTATACTAAACTTTAATAATTATTTAAACACCTTTGATATGTTATTTTTTAAGAAACAGCCCAACTAATTGATTAATTAATTTTTTTAATTGATTAATTGGAATCTAAATAAATTCAATTGACGGATTAATGTGATTCTGTGTTCCAGTTGGTTAGGATGCAAGTGGACAATGTCACTTTCTATATTGGCTTATATGCCTTTCATAGTTACGCAATTTTATCCCAAATTTTACACTATGATTCCCGCTGGATTATTGGTCGGATTAGGCGGTGGACCGCTTTGGTGCGCAAAATGCACTTATTTAACTGTGGTGGCGGAAGCCTACTCAACCGTTTCAGACATAGCCGCTGACGTTATTGTTACAAGATTCTTCGGTCTTTTCTTCATGTTTTATCAAATGGCACAAGTGTGGGGGAATCTTATATCTTCAGCAGGTGGGTCCAGCTGTTATGGATATACGTTCAGCTTATGGACATATGCAAAACAGCCAAATTTATATTTCGGGGATTAAACGTGTTGAGAAAATTGTTATTAGCATATTATTCGTGTCTGTTTTTGACTTGGACAACATTTCGTTTGCAAATGGTAATTTTGATTACGTAAGAATGAATCTATAATTGCTTTGCAGTACCTTACAACATATGTAAAACAGAATCGTTGTCAATGCGAATACCAATGAACTATATAAGCATTTTATTGCCCAGATATGTAAATAATTACAAAAATGCATTGTTAATGATGTTATAAATTTTATTTTATATCTCACTAATGTTACTTGGATTTTATAAATTTAATTTTATAATTGTTTAATGTTATTTGAGATTTTCGTATCGTGCAATTCAATTTTTTACTACTGTTATCAAAGTATAATGAAACCTATAAAATTTATGACTGGTCTATATAAGAAAATAATAACGTATAAAAAGGACAAACTTTTTATAACTTTTTTAAAACGAGAAACGTAATAACGTATCTTCTCGTCTAAGCTCTGAGACGAAATATATTTTTGTTACAATGGCTTAATCTTCCAGTCTAAAACGAAAATACGAAAACTATTACGAAATCACGAGCTGGAACGAAGTGGTGCAGCAAAAACTTTGTCTGCAGTCCGTGCAATCTTTGCGGAAGCGCGTATAAATGCGTCACTGCTAAGCTATAAAAACGCGAGTGCCGATGAAAACGAAATTAAATTGCTGTCGCCGCGAATCACGAGATTGTGAAACAACGAACGGAAGCTGCGCAGTGGCCAGAGTTTGGTCGAGCATTCTAATGGTCATATTTTGTTTTATTGAAACATACATTTCAATGTGCTCACTGGATAGAAAGATTGATAGCGACATGACAATCGACAGCATTTCTTGTAACGTCCTTATTAATGTTTTATTTCTTCTGTCGTCCTTATAATGTTTCGAGATATGCTCGCCACGTAATTTGCGGCCGCAAATTACGTGGCGAGCATATCGTCGCGAAAATAATTTCGTTATTATTAGTAGAGGAAGGTCCTCTATTATGAGATAAGTTTCTAACATGAGATAGCAGGTTTTCAACGTCCAAATTCAATCACAAATCTTTTTTCGCAACGATTACACAAGCGAATTTTCTACTAAACAGATTTCGCTCCAAGGGCAGTAAATTCACGGTGGGATCAACCAATGATGCCCATTAATTTAACAGAAACCCCGCTAACCCATATTAGGATCCTGTCTCATAATAGGGGACTTTCCTCTAATCAATTATTGTACCATCCTCTTTATCTTCGCTGACATTTCCTCTACGGTTGCAGTTCTTTCGTACGGAATCGACACGGTCGTCGCGAACGTGACTTTGAACAGTAGCGTCGTAGCCGAAACTTGCGGGGCAAATTTCTGCGGAGTTTCTGCGGAAAACGAAAATCCGAATCTACAGCGGCCCCCGGTGGAACGAATATACCTCATTTCTGGCATTTACTTAGGCTGCATGGTACTAGCTTGTTTAATAATTGCGTTGGCCGTCGATTCCTTATCCAGGTATCCGTTTATACTTTACCTTACAACCTTTAGGAATATTATAAAGTATTTAAATAACGAATTATATTTGTATAACACGATTCGTAGTGCATACCGTGTAAGGAATTTCCTGAAGGTGAGGTTTTCACTTTACAGATACGATAGAAACAGAGCCCGCTTGGTGAAAGGAGCGTCCGGACTCAAGCTCTTGGCCGTGACATTAAAGCTATTGAAAGAGAAGAACCAACTTTTGATATTGCCGATAACGTTATTCATTGGAGCCGAGCAAGCGTTTTTATTTGCCGATTACAATGCAGTTAGTAACTCAGAAAATTTTGCGCCCAACTATCTAGCATTATGGCGACGTACTGGGATAGGAGTTTGCTTGCGTCGTTGAGCCATTTTTGTACACGAGCTGTTAGATATTTGCGCGCAAAGTTATACGTTAATACATGAGCTAACCACTTGCGTGCTAAAAGCACAGAAATTGTACGTATCCTACGAGCAAAACTCAGGCAAATCTCGCACAAATTTGCATGCATAAGACGAGCAACGCTTGCGCGCGAGAATTGTTATGCGGGAAGCTAAATGCGAGGCTGAAAAAATTTTTTTTAATTAGATTTTTTATTACATTAATAGTAAGAGAGCTTTTATAAAAGAGCGATAATGTTTTGCATTACAGTCGTTCGTTTCCTGCGCTTGGGGCATTAGTAACATCGGTTACGTGATGATATGTTTCGGTGTCACAAATGCCATAGCTGCGCTCGCTACAGGAGCCATCGTGAAGTTGACTGGGAGAAAGCCCGTGATGATTTTTGCCTTTTGTTTGCACCTGAGTCTTTTCATCTACATGTTACAGTGGAAACCAACGCCAGATCAGGGTATCATCTTCTTTCTGCTGTCGGGTTTATGGGGTGTGTGCGATTCGGTCTGGCTAGTACAAGTGAACGGTAAGAAAAATGAGTAAACCGCAGACTCAAATCTAAGCACATTTTCGCTTATCGTCGACAAAATTATTGTGTGGTGATCATTAAGTCGGATTCCCTAAATTATTTGTCGTACATAAAATCTTACGGACATAATGTATCTCCACTGATGGTATTATACCGACCAATAGTATAACAAAGTTTTATTCGCGTGAGTTTCTTTAGGATAATTTAATATTTATCAGTTAAGGGGATGCTGGAGTCATTCTGTTTTACCGACATTTTTTTGTATAAGGATATCTTTTAATTGGCTTTACAGAATTGCAAATTCTTGTACACGATTAAAGTTCGCACAAAAATGAAAGTCAGCCTACTCGACTTTATATCAAAAACGAAAAAAAAACTAAATATTCCATTAATTTTTGGCATGTAGAGCTGTCACATG